GCTGCTTCTGCTGCTGCTGCTGTTGGTGGTGGTGGTGGCGGCGGCGGCGGAGGCGGGGGCAGCGGCGGTCGTGGGAGGGGAGGCGGTGGCGGCAGTGCTGGTGTGCGCATGCCTTCTGGCCTTCCCTCCTACGCAAAACTTGGTGGGCGTGCCAGAACCAGCAGCTCAATTCGGTTCCCCAGTTCCCCTCTACAGAGGTGCGTGCAAGAATCGGCGGCCGCACATTTTCCACGGTGTCCTTCTGTGTTTTCCATTTTACTTTGGCCAGCAGTTGAGCAAGCAAGCATTCAAGCAAACCCAGGCAGGCAAGCCACAAAGTGAGCAAAGCAAGCGCACACATATTAGCACTCAAGCCCACTGTTGCTAGGATTTTATCATTGTTGTCATGAGTAGTAGTAATCTTGATACTAGTATGAGTTTAAATGTTTGTGAGACTTCCAGTATTATGCGTATGAACATGCATTCCAGTTCTAGTACTACTATGAGTATGGGACAGTATGAGTTTTAATGGGCTTTGGTACTAGTTTTTAATATGAGCATCAGTGTTAGTATTGTTTTCGTATTAGTGTGGTCTCCGAGGTCTTCATCAGTTCTAGTACTAAAGTTAGCATCTTCTTTCGTCTTCTTATCATTTTGTTATCGTTACTCATACTTGGAAGTTTTGTGATTTTTGCCAGCGGTTGTCAACGGTACTTCCTGCGCCAGTATTACTACTATAGCTATAAGCATTTTCGACTGCTGTCATTGTTATTCTTTTGTTCTTTGAATTGTGCTTTCATTTCGTATTAGTGTTATTCGTATCATTCTGTGAAGTTTCAGAAGCTGAAGCCATTTGGAGCCTCCCAAGAGACAAGGATGCTTGCTCCTGTTTGTGCTGGTTGATGGATGGTTCATTAGTGGGGATATGTGGGGATGGAGTATTCGGACGTATCTCTGATGTATGCGGCCAATTGGAGGTCGCGCGCCAGTGCCTTCGAGAGGCTCTTCTTCTCTTGTGATGGCATGGTCTTTCCAGCACGCCCATGTCTTTGCGCAGCGAGGCCAGCGATGCTTCTGTTGAGAACTTATGCTTTGAGAGAGGAAGTGGCCATGTTGGTTGTCTCCTGCAGCTCTAATGAGGTTGTCAGGCGCCTGTTTGTGGCCAACGCTGGAAAGGTGCCTAGCCCAATCAACACATTCCATTTACAGGCAAGCATTGCGTCATTAAATGTTTTGCTGCTGTTTTCGGTGGTTTGTTGCAGTTTGCATGAGGCTATAGTACCATTCGCTGCCTTGTGGGCTTAAGGGCGTCCTTTTTGCTGCTTCTTGTCTTGCCAGGGAATTCTGACCTTGCTTCTTGAGATGTAGTGGTGAATGTTTAAAGCAGCATCAGACTTTAGTGCAGGAATAGCCCTGCGATTGTTGTTGGCTGACACAGATCCTTCCATCTGTGCACGTGGAAGCACGAACAGGGCTTAAGTACAGTGTTCGCAGGAGCTCGTGCAGAAGCTTGGAGAAGCTCTGCTCAGGAAAACTTCGCGGAAGGGTCTGTGGAAGCAAGGATCCAGCGAGTCCCAATCGGTGGCAGGCCATGGATCTTCGCGGAAGCTCCATGACAGGAAATAGCAACCCGAGCTCATGAGTTCCCGTCACCCATTCTTACTTGTGTTGCTTGAGATGTTTCGCAGCAATTTTTGAGATGAACTGTGATCACCGAGTTCCTTTACGTTGCCTACGCCTCGTTGATGTGCTTGGCTTTCAGCATCCTCATGTTGTGCGCTCGACGTGTTTGTAGCACAATGCTGAGTCTGACTCCTTGCAGTCGTCAGGTACCATCTCATCATCATGGCTTGCAACCTGACAACAAATGAACATGTTCCTTGGAAGCACGAATGAAGGCCGTCAGCATGAATTCTCAAGCAGCCAATTGGAGGTTCGGGACTACTACATGGAAAGGCCAAGTCCTTTTTTGCCGTGCCATGTTGTGTGCCTGAGTTGAAGGCTGATATAACAGTTATGCGTCTGCAGGAATCCCTTCGACATCACGTGCGTGGAAAACTACCGCCAGGTGTTGTGCTCCCCGCCGTCCTGGCATGTTCTGCAGCTTCTACATTCTCGTAGGATCTCTGTCCTGTGCTTGCTTGCATTGATGTTCATGCAATTCGCGTCAGGTATGGGAGAACCTACCGCGTCAGTTTTGCTGGTGCTGGTGCTGGTTCTGCTGGTGGTGGCGGTGCTGCCGCCGCTGCTGCTGCTGATTCTGCTCGGGAGGTAGAGTGAGAAGGTGAGTTGCGCGGTTCTGCGAAGCGTAAAATGGACGGCATCAGCTTCTTGCGCGAGCAATGCCAGCAAGGTAAAGTAGTGTTGTCCTTGATTGCTGAACGCAAGCAGGCTCTCACTATCTCGAATCTTGTAGTTTATGCTCCAGCCTGGGAGGATGGATGAACCACTGTCGTGGGACCTTCCGTACGTTTCTGAAGACTCAGCCACTCGCAACACCCAATTCTTGCGCCTTCACGCAGCTCCTCAAGTGGAAGGAGGGCTCGTTCACGGCACAGTCGTTGTGCTGCACGGCGGCTATTGGAAAAACCGATTTGGCTTGGATGATGAGTACGGAAATGCAGGCACCAAGTCGTTGGGGCCGTTCTTTCTAGCAAGAGGCTTCTCTGTTGTGGAGGTTGAGTACCGGAGACGTGACCATGCTGGGGGGGGCTGGCCTGGAACCAACCAGGATGTGCTGACGGCAATACATTATCTATGCCGATTAAGTGAGGAGGTTTTGGAATCTGACGACAGCTTGCTGCTGGCCGCAAAGAAGTCTCTTCGGCCTGAGAAGCTGGTTTTGCTCGGGCACTCAGCTGGTGGTTGCCTTGCGATATGGGCAGGCCATCATCTGCATGCGACTGGGATTCGACCCCTTGTGGTTGCGGCTGCGCCAGTTGCGGATCTGATCCGCGGCCATGAGCTTCGAGTCTCAGATGAAGGAGATGCTGTGGAGCGCTACATGAAACAAAAGCCAGTAGGTCCTGGCCTCGAGGAATACCAGCAGGCATCGCCGGCCGCATTGCTTCCCGTGACATTTCCCTTGTGCGTGATCTACGGAGAGAAGGATTCCGACGTACCTCCAAAGCTGGTAAGAGCATACGCTCAAGAAGCACTTCGACGCTCCAAAGCAGAGCTTGTTTCAATTCTGGCAATTCCAACTGCTGATCATTTTGACATTGTGAATGCCAAGACTGAAGTATGGCTTCGGCACGTTGTTCCGAACATAGCGGAGATGGTCGGAAAGCATTTTGGGGACGCAGCCGCTCTGGCATTACGGTGATCAAGATGGGTTCTTGAAAAGGCAACATGGAGCGCTTCCAAATGTGCTGCAGGTGCATGGTTGGAGCATGTTGGCTCGTGATTCAAGTGCTAGTTTAGCGCGCTTTTGTATTTCAAAGCTCACGTTAATTTGAGAGGGGATTATTTGGGTATGTCTGGGTCGTATGCAGGCATCAAGGTTCCGGACTTTGGCAGCACAGGTCTCTGCAGCTGCATTGCAAGTCACATACTGAACCAATCCCCTGAGCTCAATCTGTTGATGGGTCCAGGAGCCAACAAGTGATCAACCTGTTTTCTGCTCTCGCGAGAGGCTGGAGAATAATAGATGGGATTTGAGGCTTGCACCGCAGTATAGCGCAGCTGTGTGCTCGAGAACAGGCAGTTGGAGGATCATGGCAAATAATGTTTTGTACGCTTGTTCACCAAGCTTGGAGAACAGATGGCTCTGGACTGCAGCTGCTGCTGTTGCTGACTAAACCATCTTCCAGAAGCCTACAGGTACTCGCGTAACAGCTTCGCAACACAAGGTCTACAGTTGGACACATTCTGTATGAACATGCGCTTCTGGCCGCTGGTTTTGTTGGCTGCTTCGTGCTCAGCATTTGTTTCTTCAAATGAATCCAACTATGATGCAGACTTGAACGAATGGGGGCTGTCTAGGGGCTGGATCCTGCCCGACATCATAGCATCTGCTTGAAGGGTCTATGCTGCTAAAGGCAAGCTCAGCTCTCTCGTGGACAACCTAACCTGGAACCAGCTCATTAGCCTTTGATTGATGCAGTCAAAAACGTGACCTGGCCAGAGCTTTCTGGTGGAGATGCGCTTGCAGCAGATGTGTTTTGCCTTTGTGAATTAGCTTCCGCGGGAGCTGCAGCTTGCTCAGCTTGCTGGTGCAGGCGACAGCATCCTGCCTCATGTCAACCTACGGTGTGCACTTGCAGCACATGTTGTGAGCCTGAGCAACACGAGATGGACTCAAAACGCTGGGATGCCTCTGTCAACAAAGGGGTGCCTTGACGTTTTGGAGGAAGCCGAACAGGTCCTGCACCAACGCAGGGGCTCCTCATCAAGTTGCAACCATTCCTGCAGCTTGACCTGAAGGAGCACGGCCATGATGAGTGTCTGCACACCTCATAGTGTAAGCAAACCGTGCCTAAAATGCCGGCCTCGGAGAGAAAACACACACAGATCTCACAAAGGGTTTGTTTGGCATCTGCTAGCTGTTGCAAGAGCCAGGCCACTCACCAACAGAAAAGTGTGTTTATGCGATTATGGTATTTCTACTAGCTGCAAGGCATGCTTCCAGAAATTTGGCGAATCGATCAGCATTTATGTGTGCTTCGAGCGACTCATAGAATAAGTGGTTGATTCTTGCAGAGCCTTTCTAGCTTGATCGGTTGCTTGACACATGTATGGATGTCGCTGAAGCCCTTGAAGCCCCCCTTCAAGCCCTTGAAGCCTCCCTTGAAGCCCTTGAAGCCCCCCTTCAGCCAACCCTTCGAAGGGGAGCTTGAGGGAGGATTTAAGAAGGAGCATAGAAGAGAGACTAAAGAGAGCTGAAGAGGTCAATTCAAGAGGTTTAAAAGGTGGCAGAAAGGGGGACTTAGCGCGTTTTTGGTTTTAAAAAAAAGCGGGGGGTCGAGGGAGGGGCGCAGCTCTCCCCGCGGGGGGGGTTGATGTCCATTCCGATTTCATTTTGTTTGAGATGGACCGCTGATGTGATGTGGTTGTTTGGATTGCTGAGTTGTTTGTCTGAAGATGTGACTACGGCTGCCTACTGGCTGTTGGTTAGACGGTTCGTTTGTGGTTTGACAAGTTGATGAATAGATCATGAACCATGCTCAAGCTTGAGGCGGTACCCACACAAACACAGACTTTCGAAAATAGTTTCTCGCATATTTCAGCATACATGCTGCAGTGCAGAGACGACATTATGTCCTCGTGTTGCCCTATGGTGTTCAACGGGATGATTGCCTTTTTCTCTCAAAAAGCAGCATCGGTCAAACAACTGCAATCTGCTGCCATGTCGCCGACATGCAAAACGTCGACGAGATTGATGGCAGCTACGGCAAATGATTCTCCTTGGGGTGCCAACTCGAACGAGATACTGGCGGATCGTACCTGGCAACTGTAGTGCCGTGCTTCCAGTCTGCCCTTTGGCCGTGTGGGAGTCTTGCTTACGGAAATGCTGCCTGCACGAGATGTTTGCTTGGGTAAGGCGTTGAAAGCCAAGCCCTCTAGGACAGCATGGCGAAATGCCGTAGGAACGCTTTGGACAGCAGCGAGTCTGGCAGTTCAGCCCCACAGAAGCAGTTATACAGCAGGGATCCGTAGCCTCAAAAGCACTTCTCTCTGGGCACGAGCTGTGGCTCTGTTGCAGTTGATGCGCACCAGGCTGCAACCTGATTCAGTTGCTTTCGGAACTGTCCTTGGAACATGCAGGAGTTGGCAGACAGCATTCCTTTTTATTGAAGTGCTGGAAGTTGCTGCTATGAGGGTTGGCAGCATAATCCTGGGTCAAGTGACAAGTGCATGCATGCGCCAGATGCTGTGGGAACGTGCTGGTCACCTTCTAAGTTTTTCTAGCACCGAGAATATGCCTGATGTTCAGAGTTGCACGGCCGGAATTCAGGCTTGTGTTGGTGAGTGGGGCCAGGCCTTACAGAAATTCGAAGATATGTTCTTACTTCGCCTAGGTGTCGATGACGTTGCAAGAAAGGCAACGTTAAACTCATTGACACAAGCTGGATTATGGCAGAAGACGCTTCAGATGTTTGACAGCCTGCATAACTTGGATGAGATCAGCATGTCCAGTTGCAAAACTGCATGTGCCAAAAGTGTCAACTGGGCAGTGTCTATGAACCTACTGAGTGATGCTTCTCGCCTACATTTGTCTCTGGATACCATTAGCTTGGGTGCTGCAATAGCAGGGTGCGACAAAGGAGGACAATGGCCAGTCTGTCTGGCCCTACTTCAGGACGCATTGGAGTGGAAGCTTCAAACCGATGCTGTTTGCTGGGAAGGTGCGATGCCGTCCTTCGAACCCATATGGCAGTATGTGCTATGCACAGTGATGGAGCTGGCACGGATTGGACTGTCACCACGGACAGCTTCTTGTAACCGCGCTATCAATGCATGCCAGCGGTGCAGCGAGTGGCAATTTATATTCTGTCTGCTCAAAAGCGGCCTGGAGAGAGATGCTGCCAGCTTCAACTCGGCACTTTGGGCTTTCCGTGCTTCGCGATGGCAAGTAGCCCTGCGGACCTATCAGTCCATGATTGATGCTCGGCTGCATGTTCCATGATTGCGTGTGTGCAGAAGCCTTTTCTGACTGTAAGGCCTGCATTCCTTAAGTATTCAACTGCGCTGGGTCTGACGTGCATTGCCTCGCAAGCTGCATTTCCCGCGTTACCGGCATCTGCGAATGTTGATGATCCACGATAACTGTTTCACTTAATGGTGATCAAAGCATTCCGCAGCCTTCGTGTTCATCCTTTTGATTTTGTTTATGCCGGCGTGATGTTTTTAAAATGTCTCCCGGGAAAATGACAACAAAATGCACGTGGGCAGCCTTGCACATGAGGAAGTGGCATGAAGGGGCAGGGCTTTAAACTTCGAGGCATGGTTCTAGGATGGACCAATTGTTCTCGTGGGCATGCTGTTGGCGGAAACCGTTTCCTCTGCGCACGTGTTGGTCAGTCAGGGTCATGAGACCAGGTGGAGAGCAGATCACTGATAGACTCGCAATGCAATCCGCGCTGATGATTAGTATCCAATCTTTCTTTTTGCCGGCAAGCATGGTGTTGCAGCACTCATCACGTATGTTGGAAGGCAGGAACACAAAACATCCCGTTTTCCCATCAAGCACGGCGCTCGCCTTCCAATTCGGTTTCTTTGCACCAGTTGGTAAATGGCACGGTTCAGCTACCCGGCAAAATCGTCATAGCAAACCACAGAAAAAAGAGGCGGAAACAAGAGAACACCCTTGTGCTCTTTCCTCATGTGCATTCAGACATGTTGTCAACGCTGGAGCGGAGTCACCTCCGTGGCTTGTGCAAAATTGTGCTCTACCTTCTTTGCTGGGCGTCAGGGCCCCCTGGATCTTCAGAAACGCAACATCATGCAGTCATCTTTATGAGCGCAATAAGCACCGTACAACAGGAAGCCCCAGCTCGTGCTCGCCCAAATTGAGGATGTTACGTGTGCTGTTTGGTTGATCAAATGCCGACTTGATGTCTTGCAATCAGAGATGTCTAGTGTCATAGCTAAGGAAGGTAGAATTGGGCCGGATGCTTCAACGGAGCGTGCGCTCGTGAGCGCGCTCAGCAGATGTCAGTCGTGGCGCGTGGCGTTGCTGTCGGCCGCAATGCAACTGGACTGCAATTTTGACCTGCTTGGTAGTTTAGTTGCCTGCGGACGCAACAAAGACATGCGGTCAAATCAGTCGAAAAATACGGTCAGTACTATGGTAATGAAAGGCACACTTGCGAATCTAAGCTATCTTAGCAAGCAGATGTAAACAGGCCCAGTTCACAAACAGCCTGTCAGCGGGCTGACCGAGCTCAAGTGCTGGTGTCAACACACCACCATGATACAGGGGTGGTGTGGATGTGCCATTGGGGCGTTGCGATGGGGTTGTTCTTGTTGACAATGAGGGGACCGCGAGTTTTTTCCTAAAAGCCAGGAGAAAGCCCGTTGTCTGTTATGGGGGCTCCCAGAAGTACCATTGTCTATCATCTCCTAGTCCCATGTGCATTCGACATCAGTTTTCTGCAGTGCCTGTCCATATCTGTCCATCATTGAGCACGTATCATCATCTCTCCATCGACTGGCTTATTCATGTATTGACTATTGCACTCCTCGGTCCTGTCAAAATCTCACAAGTTGTGGGTTGCTAAAAGTGATGTGTGTACAATAACATAGCAGCCTTTCAAAAAGCAGTCCCGCAGGGTTCCCAGGAAGCCAGCCAACACATTTTTCCAAAAAGGTGTTCACAGCATC